TATATTAATTTTTTTTTTTTTTTTTTTTTTTATGAAAACTTGTTTATATCATAAACGAATTGAAGTTTGATTTAATGTGTAGTTGAAAATGCAAAAAAAAAAAATGTAACTTTTACCGTATTAAGTATTTTTTGTTTTACGTTATTAAGTAAACATATAATATAGTATGCATCTACACTTTATATATATCTAAACATCTTTATCGAAACGATGATACTTGAAAGAATCCTAGTCTCAATTATCAAGGGAAATTATAATGGTGTATGTATGAATAAGAGTACCTTCTTGGCTCGTATCTTGGTCAAGCCTCGCTCTAACTGATTCTCTAACTGTTGCAGCTCATCAATAGAACATGCATCAATACCTTTCCCAAGCAATTTTCTGCCATTAATAAACAGTCGCATGATCTTACAGTTTCTAATTCATATGTATACGTAACGATTTATGAGTTTTAAACCGTTTAAATATCTCTAGCTGCTCGATCTTTTTGGTCAAACCATTTGTTTCGTCTCTTGCTTGCTGCAAAATAAATAGTACAGTCGGTGCAACATTTAAACACACATATTTTTTTTTCTTTTTATCAAAAAGGCTATTCGTCCACAACATGTAAAACCCTAAATATGAAGAATGATTTGTTTTAGTCAACTTAAACCAAAGATTGAGAAGGAGTGTTGGATACCTGAGAATAATCATCTCTCTTATGGTTAATCCCAGTTTCTTTGACTCGTCTCTGATATCGCTCTATTGTTTTTGCTATGCTAAAAATAGTCAAACGCAATGCAAATCAAAGAAACGAAAATGTGGAGTCATTTTAAGAAAATGTGGAGTCAAAATGTAAGCCTTTTCACTTAAGTTCCGAACAAGCAAAATTAATGTATTGTACATTATTATTAAAATTCTAGAACTAAAAATGTGAATGAAAGGAAGAAAATATAAGTGCGAATTTATATGTAACTGATAACTTTTTTTTTATTCTAAGTAAACCATCATGATTCATGACATTGTTGATTATAGATAATTATGTAGATGGTACGGGATGTGATTAAATTAAGTAAGCGGCAACGATGTAACTTATTACTATAAGAGTGTAAATTTTCCAATTAGTGCTATTTTGTTGAACTATCTTTAAATGATTAATTCTCTTTATATACTCACAAATTAATATACTAATATTTAACGAGTTAAGTAATAATAATATAGAGCTTTAAGAAGACAAATCTCTATATAATTTAGACCCCAAAATTAGATCTCTATATAAAAAGAACTTTATTAGATAATAGAGATGTCCACATAGATATAGAAGATGACAAGGAAAAGATCACGAGATTCATGTGAATTGAGTGACAAGAATATAAATCATTCAATCAAAAACATCTGTTTAATAAATATCATCATAAAAACAAATAGTGATTTTCGTAACAGTTGAATAAAAATCATTTACTTTTTTTTACTAGACATCATTTAAAATGTTATTACTAGTATTACTTTGATATTTTCTTAACTTTTATGAAATTATTTTCACCAACCTAATTTTTCTACATAGATGTGACAAGAAAAACAAAGAGAATCATGTAAATAATGCTTAATTATTCTCAATAAGAAAAAAAATGCTTAATTGCTTTGTTCCCAAAATAGTAGGATATGATCTCAGCTTTCGAGGATCATATCGAATATATATATACATAATTAGTATACTTGACCATTTCGTTACCCATAACCTAAAATCTTGAAAACAAAAGATTCTTTTTGGTTAAATAATGAAACCAGAAGATTTGTGCCTCTTTACTTCAAAATGAAAAAGATAGTTAGAACCATAACAAAATTCTAGTTAAGATTTATGATCCAAAGTCATAATACACATACATACAGACAAGGTAGATGTAAATATAGATGCACATGGACATGCTCAGATAAATAAGAAACTAATACAGTGCTATTAAGATAATTAGTAAACACTGCGTTAGTTAACAACTATTATTATGTGGTGAAGAATGCCTAGTTAATTGTGATTAACCTATCATGGCTCTGCTTAAAAGACACTCAAATACACGTGGATTGTTGAAATACCTATAATCGGTTTACTGTAAATATGCTCAGTCAGAATAATTATAACTAAGCAAATAGAAATAAGAGAAAACAAAGAAATAATGCGTATAATTCCGATCTACACACATTGGCGGACTCCTTCACTGCCATTGCCTAAGAAAACGTGTGTGTGTGAAAAGTGAAGCAAAATGCATCATTGTTGCCACATTTTTACATATTTATACATACATACATACATAAAAGATATACACACACATATACAAAGAATGCTTATTGCTTAGACATGTCTGTTCACACATAAATGAGTACTCCATCCATAATTCAAACATTTCACATATATATATGTTATTTTTTTTGTAACCCCCACATATATATAGTTAACTATATAGAGATAAAAACATACTCACAGACAGACACTTGCAGATGTAAAGAGACACATATATAGTTTAGAAATGTCTAAATATGGAGAACTTAACGTTACTTCCAAACATGGCTATTTTGCCTACCTAATTCATGAGCAATCTGATAACGCAAATAGGCCTAATTCGAGTAATTAATGGACACTATGCTAAAAGTCATATTTATCTTGCCTCATAATAAACTTAACTATAACTAGATATATGTAGATAGCTAGCATTTGACTTTTCGTTGTTATAAATGGATAAAAATCAAGTATCAGATCATCAAAAAGATCTCATTAGAGAGAGAGAGAAAGTCGGAAAGATCAACTCATCTACAGAAAATGCCATGTACACATACATACATAGGTTGCAGTGCCATGTAAATCTGATTCCTACAAAAGTACTCCGCTATCTTTCTTCGATCTACTTTTTCTAATAACACCCATCACCGAATCACTCTCTAACACGACTTTGATAATCACATCACCAAATATAGTCCATCGAATCTACGAGTTTTGGCGAAGATTGGACCAGATTAAAACCCCTAATTGATTTCAGCACGAGGAGATGATAAACAAAGAGAGAATAAGAAAGACATGTATGTACCAAGAGCTAGAGAACTCATAGAGTTTGGATCTTGGAGAGAAGATGATCAAACCAACTTCAGCATCACAAAGGACAGATAACTCGAAAGCTTTCTTCAAAAGCCCATTTCTTCTCTTTGAGAAGGTCACTTGCCTGCTCGTTGCGTTCTCTATCCTCTTGATCTCAGTCTTTCCCCTCACCATTCTTTACTTCCAAATCTTCTGATTTAATTAAATCAAACAAAATAAAAGGATTTGCTTAGTACACAAAACCAATAGTATCAAGAAATTAATACTATGATTAGATTGATTAGATATAGATTAACATCGTTTCTCAAGAACATCATCATCAATATACGTAGAACTGGAAAAGAAGAAACTCTTTGATTTGACTTTTACATAAAAAGGAAACAATTATTAGCTATACATAGAAAAATGGATCAACGAAAAACTAGATGGATTTCGAGATTTACCCTCTTTGTATGTGTATGGTCTTAGATTGATGTGTGGCTCTCTATTCGTGTATATATCTATCTATAAATGTTTCTGGAGATAGATAGAAAAAAAGGATAAGAGATTTTGGGAAGATGGTCTGATACAAATTGCTGAGAACTTTTTAAGAAACCCTAGATTTATGATGAGAGAGAGAACCACAAATGATATTTTCTTTTGGGGTTATTTGTGTATGCTTGATTTTTGTTGATAATGCCTTATTATTTTTATTTTTTTGCTTTTTATTAATTTTGCCATTTTTATCTTTATGCATACCAGTGGTCTATAAACCTAGGCCACCTGGCTCACTAGTAGCATTACGTTATTTCTTTCTTCTTTTAGTAAAAAACTTTTAAATCCATAAATGAAGACCAAAATGTATCAATAATAAAATAAATTATGGAAGGGGAAAGAATAAGTTCCAATGGGATTGAGAACGCTCATTTGATGATATGAAACTACTTCTTTGGAATTTTAAATGATCTATTCAGTGGATGATTAAACTATAATTATACAACTCGTACGACGCATATTAATAATTATAATTGCATCAAATTTATTTACTGGTAAATAAATTATACTGTTGGCGTAGCTGCAGATTTACTATCTCATGAACTTGAAATTGTTAAGTATATGTAATTGCAGATATATAGGGTGTTCGTCAAAGTAGGTTTCATCAGTGGACAAGTAGCATCTCGGTCGGTTGCCAGCTCTTCTCGGACAAGATGTGCTCAATAACTTATTCACACACACGCCTGACCTTCTGATCTCCGCAGAAACTGAAAACAAAACAAAAAATAGATAGAAAGAATCTGATAACTAAACGGGTAAGTGTTTGCTTTAGAAAGCCAAAATTTAATCCAGAGACATATATGTCAACTAATCAAGTTTTTTAAAAAAAAAAAAAATATATACAGTAAAAATATCTCTAAAATCTAAAAAGTATTGTGGAAGCTCCCTTAGTCCAGCATTTGACGGAAGGTTTATTAATGATTTTACACCAGAAGATCCAGATTTCAATCTCCGCCGAAAGTGATTTATTAAACAATTATGCAAAATACGAATGAAAGGCTTACAAGGGATCTTCAACATGATGCAAGTAAACTTGACCAGACGTGAATCTTCATAGGACGGTTCAGGTGATGCAGTTAGGTGTAGATCATCATAAGACATGTAGTATTATCCGTTGTCAAATCTTCTATGTAATCTTTCTCATAATTGTAATATCATAATAAACCAGCGTTAAGAAAAGTAAAATCTAAAAAGCGACTATAGAAAACTTTATTTTTAGAGAAAAAATAAGTGTTTTACAAAGTTATAGCAAAAGAATCTATGGTTTAATTTCTACAGCAAAAAAAATTACAGCTTATTCCAATCAGCCCTTGAAACAATCATAATTTTTTTAATTCTTTTTGCTGCTAAACAGTTTATGGATATTACAAAGTTAGTATATAGAAGTAAATTGTTTGAAACAACTTATTACCTAAATAGATATAAGCACCATATAACAGAGATATCAGATAGATAATTTAATGATGCTTTCTATAGATAAATTTCATAACACATTCATATTAATTAACATATTAAGTACGAATAATAGATCTGACCAAGAGTAATAATGTTTTTACCAAAAAGTGAAGCTATAGTAGTTATTACAAAAATATGTACTATTGTATTATCAGTTTACGGAAACCCGAGTTTATATCGAAGAAAAGAGGTGATAGTAGTGTGTATACATCAGTCTTTATAATTATCAAATCCTTTTCAAAATTGTATTATGCCTTTGATGAATTTACCAAATAACTACACAGTCTGCACTTACACGGTTACAAGAAAAAGAATCAAGGTAAATCTACTACCGTATAATAGTACTGTTGGGAATCCACTTTCAAAGGAAGAAAAGGAATCGTCAAACATGACAAAGAAATTCTTAAAAATGTAATTATACGAACGGGATGAGGTAGCACGCTTAGTAAAGATCTTGGGAGTCAATTGTCATGCTCACGGGTTTGACGACAGGCGGATAGGAACTGCCGATTCTTGTCACCAAATGCGATACTGAGTGTTGGGCCTTGTCTCCAGCCCAAGTAAAACCCTCCCGGATAAAGTGGACCTCTGTTTGACCAGACCCAGAGAAATGATCCATGTAAATGGGGAACCCTTGAATTATAAAAAAAAACAAAAAGTAATTATACGTGCGCTTTGTTTTTACCACATAGATGAAGAAGATTTCGCAGGTTACGTGATGATTGTTGGCACTAGTTTCTAGTTTTTAATTTTTAGATTTTGGTTTTAGATTTTTATTTTTGGTTTTTGATTTTGGCTTTTTATTTTTGGTTTTCAGTTTTTAGTTTTAGTTTTAGATTTTGATTTTGGTTTTTAGTTTTGCTGTAGTTTAAAATTTCTTAAAAATAAGTAATACATTATTTTAAAATAATACAACAAAATAGAAATAAAACATTTAAGAGCTACTACTAAAATATAATGATTATTCTTTAATAATACAAAATACATTAACATGTTTGAACTATTATATTTTTAAGAAACATATATTATACTAAATTATAAACCATAAAATAACTATAAATTATACAATATTTAAACTATTAATATATGGAAATTATTTATAAAAAATTTTGTATATAATTTAAATTATAAAATTTGAATGAAATGTTTTCGTTTTCAAATTAATATAATATATTTTATTAATGAAATTTTATGTTTTATAATTTAGTTTATTTTTTAATAAGTCTAATAATTATTAAAATTATTAAATAATTTTATGTATAGAAATGAATAACCAACTTCAATTATTTAATATTATATATAAGTATAGAAAATTATTTTGACATGCAACATAAATAAATGATTACACATTATTGCTTAAATGTTATCTTTTATCAAAATTTTATTAGACTTTTATCTTTATAAAGTATTATTTAATTATTAGCTAATTAAAATATACCACTTTCAAATAAAAAGGAAAAAATTCGTTTTTATTCCTAAAAACCAACAAAAATGGGTTTTTGGTTTCTCTTTATAAATTGATTAAAATTTTCAAAAACCAGTTTCCCTAAACTTTAGGGAATCTATTTACTAAAAAGCTAAAAACAAAAACCAAAATCTTAATTGGGTAAAAACTAGTTTTTAGAAAAACAAAAACTAAAAATTAATTCAAAAACTACAAACAATCATCACCTTATTCATTGGATAAACAATAACGCGTCCGTACAAACCATGTTATTATAACAGCGACAAATACTCTTGCCGTACTCATACGTCAGGGACAGACCAACTAAATAACACCACGTATACATATTCCCACGTGGCAGCTCGACCTCTTTGTTTGGTGCGCTTCTTTGACTCATTTTGTTCTTGCTTTTTTTTTTGTACTTTATTCTCTCGTTTTTAATGTTTTAATTATGTAACAAATCTGCATAACATCGAGTGGTTAGACACTATTTGATTGCTTTTTAGTAAACTAATACTAATACATTTTGAAATGATATTTTTGTAGTTATTCATCTTTCTATATCTCGGTACAGGTGTCGCACGCTAGGAGGACCACATCCCTTTCACGATAAGTAATGTGCGTGTTTTTCTCTTGTCTCTTTTGCTCGCCATTAAAGATTTTGTTGAAAAGTTGAAATGCCTTTCCTTTCATTAATAAAGAGAAAACAGTCGAGTTTAGTAACATAGGCTTGTGATTCAAATGAAGACAATAAACTGATGAGACATTGGCCCGATCTCTGTAACTTTACATACTAAAACAAGCTGTATGATAATCATTTCTTTTTAATTCGATGATAATCAGCGTTTCCAAATAATTATATTGATGCCTTTGCCCATAAACGAAAACAAAACTGGTGGTATATAAGTAGTAGTTACACCAAATGATCTAATTTTCACAATCTACCTAGTTCAAGTTTTCTTTTATGAACGTATTGCCAACTTTCTTCTATATATATATATGTAAGGAAGACGAGCTATTTCCCCACGAAAAGTATTTTATAGCACCATATATCTCCCAAACTATTATCTCATTCTAGATGTCCCCGGAATAAAAATTCAAAACTTATTTCCCCACAAAATTTAAGTTTAAGATTTTTTTCTCTATAGATTAAAAGTTTGAAATCCCTGACCCCACGAGAAGTATATTATAGCACCATATGTCTCCCAAACTATTATCTCATTGTCCCCGAAATAAAAATTCAAAACCTATTTTCCCACAAAATTTAAGTTTAAGATTTTTTTCTCATAGATTAAAAGTTTGAAATCCCCGACCCCATAAAATTAAATTATTAGGTTATAATTTTTAATAATAAACCAAAACCATCAAAATTTAATATTAACCAAAATTAAACCAAATTCAAAATTAAACCCGCCCCAATTAAAAAAAAAACAAACTGCACAAAAATAAAACAAAACTAACCCTTCTGGTTTGTCCAAAAAAAAATACAACGCTTCTGGTCTTTTTATTCCTCCGTCAATCTGCTACCATGGATGAATTCAAAATCCCAGAAATTTTAGAAGCCATAGTAAAAGAAATCAAAATAAAAAAAAAAACCCACGAAGTTTCTTTCTTTTTTTTTACTTCTGCGTGAGACTTGTCTTCTCTTATCCAAAGATGTTCTTGACTAAATATCATTAAACTTGAGACACTGGTGACAGTTTTCTCCAATTAAGATATTTGATTTATTCAATAAAATTCAAAACATAAGATATATTTTTCTCTTGTCTAAGATCTGAATTTGAATGGGGTTCAAGGAGAAGACATAAAGAAACAATGTGTTAGTTGTAATAGAGGTGGTGAAGCCGTTGAATCAAAAATTGTAAGCCATTGAACTGTCTCTCTATCTCTCTCTTGAAGAACATGACTGTGTTGATGGTGACAAAATTGAGCAAACACATCCAAAACAATGAGAGAAGAAGAAGAAATTAACTAATGGAAGCAATACATAAGTAAATGAAGACGTGATTTGGTTAGGATTAGGTGAAGAAGAATTTGGGTAAAATCTGGGGAAATAAGGGGGTGGGGAAGAGGATAATAGTCGGGTCACTTTTTTTTTTGTTTGGGTTTAATATAATTAAGTTTCGGTTCTATTTTTTTGGTTTTTTTTTGTTTGGTTTTGCGATTATACTGAAAATTGTCTTAACCAATATCGAATTGAGTTT